TTGCATTTTTTATATTCCACGAAAGACAGAGATTAGTGACGAAATGAAATCAAACTGCAAGCAACGAGAAACGTAAGTTTGTTTCCAAGTAGAATAATTCGAGACCGACTAAACTGCGTATAGTGTAGTCAGAATCTTATCTCTGTTGTTGAAAGACAAACAGTTTGATTAACATTGATTCGAGACGTGGTTTCGTCATTTGGCCATAGGAATCCAGTTGTTGAAACCAACAAGCTTTTTCATAATCATCGACTCTTATTATTCAAATAGATCCGCCGTATCGTTTTCGAGTTCGAATTAGCTTCAACGTATTGACTATCGCGACGACAACGAAGGTTTTTCATTCTCATAAATAATATTGCAAAACGATTACCATACAACGACGAGCGTCAACGATGAAAAAGTTTCTTAAATAACGTGAATAACTACATGATAGCATGAAATGAAAAATGTCGCTGCATGTAATATCATTATATCATTAACACAATAGCGTTTATATAATATTGTATAGTGTTAATAATTGCAACATCTGTGTTTAACCTGTTGCGCTGGAATGACGTGCCACGCACGTCGAGAATATTTGGCTCAAAATTGCAATATTTTCTCAGTTTTAAGTATACTGAAATATAACCCAGGCAACAGCAAATAATAAATTTAGTAATTCCTAGTAATTTCTATCCAGTGATATACCGATGAAGTCGAGTTATTAGTATACGGTTTGGTCACTCGTTATGGTCCGCGAACCAGTTACTAACGCAAGAGGTTTATAACTTACATATATATTACTATATTATTAATATTCATTGGAAGAACAATAGAGAACGATATTTTCTCAGTTTTAAGTACATTGAAATATAACCCAGGCAAAACAAATAATAAGTTGATTACTTTTTAGTAATTTCTATCCAGTGATATACCGATGAATTCAAAATGAAGACGAGTTATTAGTATACGGTTATTGGTCACTCGTTATGGTCCGCGAACCAGTTACCAGCGCAAGAGGTAGAACGTTATATTATAATACTACGTCACAGTATTGATATTATAATATACGTTGTATAACAAACGATACAACAAACAGAGCACGTTTGAATTTTTCATACTGGCCAACGCGTCGATTTTCGAACAATCAAGTATTAAAGCACAGCACAGCTTTATCGATTACACCGCTCGATGGCCAGAGCATGTCATTGCCAAAGGAGCGATCGAAGAACACCTCGTTCGAAAGTTTTTCAACTTTACCAGGGGTGTGTACGTAATACAGGCAACAACTGGTGGCTCGGGTTTATTAATAATCGAGTTTATTGACGATCCCGCGCGATCGGGTGGAAATTATTTCACCTATTGTCACGTAACTTACGTAACACTCGTTTGTTCGAACGAGTGAACGCTGTCCTCGGTGAACGATTGTGAACCTCCGCGATCGACCCTCACGGATTTTTTACATGGCCACCTTTTGCTTACGAGCCTGGAATTCGAAAATACTCTGCCCCTGTCGCCTCTCTGACGTCCTAGCAGGAAAAATTTATCGAACCGAACCCACCACTCGTCTTCGAATTTCGAAACTGGTCTCCCTTTGATTTCACGAGTTTTCGAATTTAATTTCTAACTCATTCGCACAGAGAAATGTCAATAATTGCCAATTCGTTCGTGTTAGTGACTATCGTATACGCGTTTATCGGGGTTTCGTTTTCTGATTTGAAGATGAAGTAAACAGGTTCGTCTAGATCGTGGATCAGAGATTTTAGCAAGAGAACTATCCGAACAAAATTGTTGGTCGATGATTAATGACGAACTTATTTATTATGGAGGTAACTTAGTGTAAGTAGATGTTCTCGATGCTACTTTGAATTACATTAGATACTTCATAGAAACGAAAAAAAAATCGAAAGAATGTTTTCGAATTCCCGAATCCTTTGCAACCGCGATGCAACAACACGGAATTTAATAACACAAACCTAAAAAAAATATCGCAGATTGATATTCTTAATGGATTAAGAATCATCGCTAGGCTGCGGATTTTTGTCGAATAACTCAATATTCTCCTAGTAATATTCTAATAAGTGAAAAAAATTTTCTATTCGAGCTCCACTTCTCGAAATGTGAAATTGCGTTTATATAAAAACCGGCAGTTTTCTATTCGTTACTGTCTCGTTCAAAGAAAAGAAGTAGTATTTCCACGTAAAAAAACTTCATAAATTACCATTCTTTCATTAAAAAGAAAAACAGCTCATTACCAGCGTTAATGACAGTGTCGAGTGAGCGTGTTATTACGACGACCGTCATCGTTCTGATTGATCGGATTTCTATTGACAATCGAACACATGCTCCGTGGATATCATTGTCGTCGGCTTGGTCCGTGGCACGGTTTCGAATAAAATCCAAGGCACACTCGCAAGGCTAACAGAGACTAGCCCTGCACGTAACAAACACGCCCGCGATCGCACGAGTACGCGGTGGATTAATGAATTTACCGAGGGTCGTCGAGCGTCGGGCATAAATCAACCGGCCGCGTAATAAAACGTGACCACGACGGGGGAGAGAAGGTTTTTAACCGCGCGCGTATATACATATCTTCGCCGGTTTCGAAAATATCGAAAAAGCTTCGAAAGGTTTTTCTCTCGCGCTTCTCTTAATTATACCTCTGCTCGAAAGCGGATCGCTTTCGACCGTTTACGAAAGTTCTGTTTCATTCTGGTTCCACGGTTATACAGAAGGAAGAAAATAAGCAAGTTCTTTGGCTGTGAAAGAAGCACTTGCATGTACTTCTGTTCTTCAATGAAATTTTTTTTACGTTGGACGTTATATTTCATTCGCAGAGTGTCAAATTTTTATATGAACTTGGTATGCATCTATTTATTGTTAATTTAATGTAATTAGATGCAATCAGTTAAAGCATAAATGCTGTAATAAATGTAATCATGAAGAAGATACTTGTTGTACACACATGCTGCGCCCTTAACCCTCCAAATTTTTGTTCTTCCTGGAAAATCTTTTAAAGATTCATTGAATAAACATTTTCTCACATCTAGAACAGTAAAAAAACTAAGCGTGGGCATGACTATAATGTGCTTGTCCACAAAAGGTTAAAAATGAGGAATTACTATGAATAATTACACTTATAAAATTTTAAAAATTGAATCTCAGCAAAATATAAAATTCCGCGAATAAATCAGAAAATTATTCAACCCTTCTTCCAATTTTCTTCCCAGTATTCTTAAATAAGCACTTATTTAGAATCAAACGTTATTTACAATTTATATCTATCAACATTCAATTAAAAAAAAAAAAAAAAAAGAAAATTAAATTCGAAGTTCGAGTTAAAATTTCGCAAAATTGCAATTTGCTTTTTTCGAAAACCGATCGAGTGCTGCTCTATATTACAAGACAAATATTTCCTGACCTATACGATAAGAGACGAAAAGTATCTGTTTAATTAACATTCACCGGCAATTACTCGGATAAATAGGCAGAATTAACAAATATAAATTTCAAGCTAGAAACGTGCCGAAAAGTAATTTCATCGCGAGATGGATCTGCTGCCCGCGATCAATTATCCCCGGTTAAATGACTCACAATGACCTGGCCAAGCGGTCAAGGTAACGTTTCGTAACTTCAGGTATCTTCACACCTGCATACCAATGACAAGTGGGCAACGGGAGTGATCGTTGTCGTCGTCGTCGTCGTCGTTGTCGTCGTCTTTTCTTCTTTTTTCTCTTTTTCTTCTTACGCGTGTCCTACTTTCGAACCGATCGAAACCTTTATACACGCCAAGAGGGTTTCGCTCCTCTCGAGAGACAATTAGCCCGACCAGAGCCAAGAGTTGCGAAATTTTGAAACGACGCTTCTGCTTATGAACCGAGGAAAATTGCAAAGATCGAGAGAAAGAGAGAGAGAAGAATCGTTGGAGTTAATTCACTCAACGAGGATATAGATTCGAAAACGTAAAAGGAGCTGGTTCGAGTAGCGAATCGCGCCGGGTTCGCCTGGAACGACGCGTGAATTTTGACGACCCTTCAAACGCCGAGGAATACTAATCCGGCGAAAATTAGACGGGACGAAGGCGGAACACGTTCCACACGTTTGTACATCAATTGTACGAGATACGATCTCCGATCTGTTTGTCAGGAACGACGAGTTTGTCGTTTCTCATTTTCTTTTTTCTTTTTTTTTTTTTTTTTTTCTTTTTTCCACCACGGAGTTTCTAATTGGGAATGTTAATGACGCCGGTGGAATAATGAACGGCGAGCGACGAATTTTAACGACCGTGTCGAACTTCAACGGATATTTAATTAGTCGAATATTTAAACTGTCTTCTTCGTTCGTTTGAGATGGAATACTGATTTGTTGCGTGTTTGTCTCCTAAACTTTTCATTCATTCGGAACTTCGCTTCGAGTCTCAGCTGATATCATTGAAAATCACAAGAATTACAAGCGTAATAATTATTTTGATATTAGAATTCGTAGTTTTGATTTATTAACGATATTATAGGGAAATAGTGAACAAATATATCTAGTAATAGATATATATATATATATATTTGACTATCTATGATATAGTCAAATACATATAGTGAACAAAATGAAATCAAATATATTGAATTACTACGATCATTTATAACCCAACGATACTGCTTAATAATTAATGTAATCGCCAAATGGGACGGCACTATTCTGATGTTATTTGTTAAGTTATTTTTGCAACAACAACTTTTTTTACATTCGTTTTGATTTTGCTGATATCTAAATTTTACGTGACTTTCTTTGATGCTAGTTTCTAAAAGTTGAACACCTCAGATCTCTTCATGTGTACGCTTCGATAAAAAAAGGCAAACAATGTTTCAACTTCTCCTCAGTAAATCAAAAATCGAAAGAATCACACTCGTGACGCTTTCTTCGAGATGCTTGATCAATTGTAAAAAAAAAAAAAGAAAGTAGCGCGAAGAGGAAAAGTTGAAAGAAAAATAGAAATACGAGGGAGCATTTAGGCGAGGACTTACCGGTATAAGTGCTCTTGAAGCTTTCGTGAAGCTTGAAGGTGAAGGGAATGTGGACCTTCATCATCTCCATCTGAGGTATACGCGGCGAATGTGTCATTACGCTTCCACTCCCTCCAAACATCAATTCGTCGCCGTGAATACGAAGCACGATCATGTTCCTGCACAAAAAAATTATTTGTATTTTTTTTTTTTTTCATTTGATCCATCTTCGATCGTTTAATTATTTACCCTCCGTGGACAAGTACATTATTATATCGCTTCTTGTCCATAAGAAGATTCATGTCAACGCCTAATTTTTTTTTTTTTCTTTTACTAATCTAGACTTTCAAGAACCTCGAAATTGTTTAAATGGTCTTTGCTGTATCGTACAATCAATTTTTGTACGGGTCTTCGGCAAGAATGAAAATTTAGAAAAATGTCGCATTTTCATTTTTCAAATTCACATCTTTACGAAACAGTTGAGAGAAGCAGTGTAATTAACTTCACTTGTCTATAAACTACACTCCACGTAATTTTGGAACTCAAGTTCTCCCCAAATGCTTCGATTCTGAAACTCAGGTAACTATGGTTATTTAATAATTATTAATATTTTAAGCGTTTAAATAATATTAATATTAAATATTAATAATTATAATAATATTGATATTAAATATTAATAATTATAATAATTATTAATATTTTAAGCGTTTAAAAAGAGCATTTAAAAGTTACGTTTCCAATTAGCAAATAATTGGAACGATTTAATTCAAAACGTAATTCGATCAGAAGGATTAATATTTACAACTTTTCGCTGTTGTTTCCGCGTAATGTATTCATAATTCAACATACGAAGTTCGATCTGCTCTCCGGAGCTTACAATTAGTACTCCATTCGCTCTTGACACAGGAGATCCTGTCTATAAGTAGAACGGCCACAGTATCCTACGTGCAGGTATGCGTCATCCTGAACGCGAGACGATTAGGAGATCCGAGAAATAACTGTACGTGTGGTACTTTTTTTTTTTTTTTTTTTTTTTAGCAACAGGTACGAACTAATCGAGAGCTACTCCCATCTGTCTCATCTCTAATCTTTCTTTTGCTTTCTTCCTCGACGAGATACGAGAAAGAAATCAAACGCAATAAAACTGTAAAGAAAGTATTCCAGAAGAAAAATTTTGATTCCCATTCTTTTTTTTTTTTTTTTTTTTTTTTTTAAAAAAAAAGTGAATTTTTTTTTTTTTTTTTTTTTTTTTTTTCTAAAAACAAGTGAAATTTATTTGTTTTTTTTTATAAAAACTGACTGTAAATTTCTACATAAGTAATTTATCTGTACGAATTTTCTGCTGACTGTTGGTTTATCAGTGGAAACAATCTTTCCACAGTGTCGGGCAAAATTTTATTAACAACTGACAAATAAATATCGAGTCGAGTAACAATTAGTTCGCATAAAAATTAATCGATATTACGACTACACCAATGTATGCCACGCAATGCCAATGCACGTATATTAATGTTAATATACTAATATAATTAATATAATTATTGCATAGAATGAATGCTAAGCCTCGCGTGATGATAACAAATTTTTAGATGCGACTTGTGCGATGGACATTGCACTTACGGATGTTGGATTCTCATTGTAAATGTGCATCTATTATTCGAATAATTTTGCAGAAATTCAAATAAGTTGTCCGAATAAATAACAGCGATATATCTGAATATATAAAGATGATGGATCATTTCGTTCTGATAAACGGAAATCTGAACACGGATTTTCCGATAATCGTTTTTTTAACCTCTTGCGCTGGAATGACGCACGTCGAGAATTTTTTGTTCCGAAATCACAATATTTTCTCAGTTTTAAATATACAAAATAGTTAAGCAAAACAAATAATTGATTTCTCAATAATTTCTATCGAGTGATGTCATACCGACGAGCTCAAAAAGAAAGCGTCGAATTAATGTACACGGTCTGGTCACTCGTTATGGTCCGCAATCAGTTGCCAGCGCAAGTGGTTAAATGAGTATTTATTCAGTGTAATTATTTTCAATAAATACTCGTCCAGTTAAATTAATTAATTTATTTATTTCAATCGTTTAGTCCAAGTCGGTTTAGTCAACAGAGAAATATTCAAGAACAATATTGGCCGAACAATGGCCAATTCCGCCGCAGCATTCTTATGCCGTACAATTCTCGTGCCCGACATTGAGATGCAAAGAACGAATAACAGTCTGGCAAAAAAAGAATTCAACGTATCGCCTCGTTTCCGTGGACCTCGTGCCAATAAAAAGTGACGACAAGGCAAACAGAATGGAAAAGCACAGGCTATATCGTCCTTCAGTATTTAAAACAATCGAACTGCCTTTCGTTATTCATCCTTTTCGAATGAATTAACCTGCGAACACGACCGACAACTGCCAATAACCTCGTGGCTATGAGAACGCGTGCACGTATTACCGCGTCGCTGCGAGATAAAATCGAATTTTCTGTCAAACTTTCGCAAAAACGAAAGAAAAAAGAAAAAAGTTTCTAATTTCAACAGGACTCGCGCTTAATTCGTTTCGACGGATCTAAATTTGAATAATTTCGGAGTTGTTTCATGTTGGAGTTGTGGATGAATATTTCATCAGGATATAAAAAAAAAAAATTACATATTAGCGTAGGTAGGAGATACTGTGAAAAATTAAACAAAAGACGAATTCTTAGCGATTTTCTATTATCTAATTTGAGTTTAGACTCGTCAGAGACACTTCAACGAGTCCCTCGCAACAGTTCAATTGATTTACATCGTTAAATTCTATTCTATATTTTTTAATATTTGGATTAGGAAAGGTAAATCAATCTCAAAGATTCATCTTCTTAAACTCCTCCGTTGTGCTTTCGCAATTTTACGAAATTCAAAGAAATTTATAATATCAACGCGAATCGTCGTTTGATTGTTAATCAAGGTGAGATCACCGAGATTTTATGGTTCCAAAATTATGGGATGAAAAAAGAAAGAATATTATACGGAATCTTTGAAATTCCATTTTACGATAGCAATACTTAAAAAACGAAATCAACACTAGGTTAACGTAGATGAAAAAAAAAAATTGCAAACTGGTTCTTAACAGAGTTAATAATAATGTCTGGGCAAACTTCATTTTAAAACGAAATAAAAGATAAATTATTTGAAACATTATTTCGATTTATTATTATTATTATATCAGTATATCGTTACTTGAAAGTACAGGAAATAACAGTTTATTTTGAAGTAATAATCACTTCGAGTGACAAGTAATCTCACACTTTCTTTATTTCTACTGTCAAGGATATAATTCTTCAGATAACACGAGCAAACAAACTATCAGGCAAGCGTCAAATAATATTTTAGCCAGTAAAAGTGATCGTAGTATCACTGATAATGAGATACACATATTATTCCATGCTCTCAATGTTATTCCCCCAGGAAACGAAATAACAAAAATTGCATTTCGAAAGCGAAACAGTTGTAAAAGAAAATAACACGTTGTTTAAAATAACATTTCGAATTAATATTATCTCGAATAGTGCCCAAGTTTGACTCAAGATAGTTGTATTGGCACGCGGAAGAATTTCACAAACTCTACAACACTTTTTTTTTTGTACAAATTGTCACAATGTGATCGTCCTTGCAATTGATATCCTCCAATATATAATAAAACTCACGAGCCATTTATTTCGATGGATTTGAATTCGGAGTTATTTCACGGCGGAGCAAAAAAATAAACTATGCGAGTTGGGAATTTCGGATGGCTTTCTCTTTTCAGATAGGTGAATCGTATGTTTCGCATAAGTGTGTTAACGGTTTATTGACATAGGTACTGGCACCGGGACGACTGGCTAGCTTCTTCGTCGTGGAAAGAAATATTCCAAATGATATTAAAAAGCAGTGAGAGTTTATTTAGGCTTAGTATAATTCCAACGTTCCAAGTCCGAATCTCACTTCTCCCAAAATTCAGATAGGCGGAGGAAAACTGCGTTTACTCAGTCAGAGGATTTATTTCCATCCTTCAAACTTGCTTGTGTTAATATTTGGAAGCGTAGGTTCTTTTATCGAAGTTGTACCTTTTACTCTTGACTCTCTCAAGTTTCTCAATTTTGTCTATGTTCCTTCTGTGCTTCAATACTTTTATCATCCTATTTCCAATGGTAGAATTTCAAGTTTCCAGCTGCAGTTTGATCACAAACATATGATAGCCATCAAATTTTCTCTATAGTAAAATTATCTTCAACAAGGCCGAGATCATCAAGTAAATATCTACACTGTGCAGCAACAAACGAGCGAAGGAAACACGAATCATCAAGATTTCCTGGCTCTTCCCTGATAAACCGTTATCTGGGATTTGCTCAACGATAAAAATCTGAGATGCTACATGCTTGCGCGAAACAGTATTACTGGACAAACATAGCGCAGAAATGCATAACTTTCTATTTAATTTAAGAGAAACGTGTCGCAAGCAAAATAATCTCTGATCTCGAAAAAATTGAATAAAGTTCAGAATATTATGTTCTAACGTGGATGCATGCATGCTTCTAAATAAATAATAAATGTTAATAATGTGAAAATTAAATAAAATTGATAGCGAGACTTAGAAAAAGTGTATTACAAGCAAGATCTTTGAACGAAGTTCAATTTTAATATAGATTAATATTACATTCCGATATAAATATCTAAATAAAATTCACTCGTATCACTTTCCTACCTAAATTCCTCGTAGACAAATAGCGACCGAATATCGCAACAGAATAATAACGGTTCGATCAAGCGTCTCCAAACGATGTTGCACAATTTCCACTGAAAGTGTACAGAAATACTTTTTCCAGAAAAAAAAAAAGCCAAACGACTGGCAAAACTGGCAAATCATCGGTGTTGCAATGTAATAACGCGTCGGTTCGAGTACTTACACGAATTAGGATACGCGATTGCACAATCGCGACGTTCGAAAACCTTATTCGTCATTTCCATTCGCTCTTACCGTTTAATCATAGGTAAAACGAGAGGAATAACGATGTTAGGCGGCTATTTGAATGTCGCTCAGTGACATTCAAATTATCGTAACTCTTGCTCTCGATAAACAAATTTAACATCACAAATGTTCGATTGCTTCGCGAACAAAGTGTTATCAATTAGAAGAGAACCGGGTAGTACAAGATATATGTATGTACAGCGAAGAGTATACTGATGACGAAAAATTGTCGATATTTTAAACTGTCATAACTTCGAAAAAAGGAAAAGAAAAAAAGAAGTCTCTTCTTTAAGAACAGAGTTCGTTTTGTTCGAAGAAAAATTTGTTTTTCTACAGGCGGGTGAGAAAGTAAGAATACTTTTATTCTCGGATACTGTAAAAATTCAAAAATATTGTTTCTAAAAGCATTGAAAAATTTTTCTCACGACTGGATACACCATGATCTTGAAGATCGAAGTCTCTCCTTCGCAGGAATCCTTTAAAACTTGTTGTAGAATTTCATTTTTTCAATGTTACGAAAAAAATTCAAGAAACTCTAGCATTTGATCCAATCTCAATGTTCGAAATTTGATAAATTTGTTGAAGAAAGAAACAATCGTACAACGAGTTTTAAAGTTGTAAAGAGGTAGATCAAAAGAATTTTTCAATGTCTTTAGAGACGTTCTGTAATAAAAATATACTACACTACTGTTTCAAATAAACTGGTACATTGTACTATTACCCTCTATTACACAGATGAAATAAATCAAATTATACTACTATTTCAAATAAACTAGTACATTGTACCTTGTATTATTACCCTCTATTAATAAATGAAATAGATGAAATAAATCAAGTTTTTTCTGACTATAAAAATATGAATTTGCACATGGACATTGGCAGTCTGCTATTAATTAACATGTTTTAACAGCGTGTTTTTCTATGAAAATATTTAATTTAATAATTACGTGTGACTCTGTTACGTAAAATATATTATTTAATTATTAGCTTTATTAATAAGAAGACTGTGGATTTTATTATCATATATTCATGAAAGAGTCTAAGAATCTAATCAAATACTATAATTTTCAATATTGCACACGTTTTTCCAATGTTCCTTAAATTTTCCTGTAAGTGTATAGTAATCTATGTTTCAGAAAATCAAATGAAAGTTTACTAATCCTTTTAGCTACATTGATCCATTCGGATAAGTGAATTCAATCGGCGAGAGTTCGTTGTTTCGCAGACGAAATTTAATCGAGGTAAGTAAAATCCTGCTTCTGTCGAGGTTTATTGCTGAATTTCTAGCGGCAAAATTTTTCGAAACAAAAAGTGTTCCTCGCCTTCGCGCCTTCGAACAAAGAGGAATATTATTTGCTTCGACACGAGAAACTTTACAGAGAAATTGACCTTTCTCGTTGGTCTTTAACTTCGTTCAGTTCAAGGTTACCTCATTCCCTTCTCCTTTTTATACATTTTATCTTTACACCTTTGGTGCAAATTAAAATGACCTCTTATAGTGTAATAATTCCTCATCGACCCTTCGCGCGCGATTACAAGAATTTCTAGTGATGTTTCTGTGTTTGAATAACTGTTTTCAGGCATCGTGTCCTCTATCCCATGACACACTTTTACCAGCAAACTAAAATGCCAATTTATCGTCCCGTTTTACGATTGTGGCTCACAGACTAACAGTGATCTCACCTTGAGATATTAAAAGAAATTAGGAATTAACCTTGAAGCTTACGAAACGGTGAAAAGAAGAGAAACGAAAGTAGCAAAATAAAGATTATTAACGCGTGGTAATTTTTCGTACGACAAACGTTATCAACTTATCGTGAAATAAATCGATATTACGCAATCGCGAAAATTGATACAACTGATGATTTCGCGTGTCGCCAATGTTTTAATAAATGTTTTTATTGGCGGAGATTCGCGATGAAATGAACGGACCATCGTGAACGAATGGATCTGAAAATGTTTAAGCACGAAACTTTCGTACGATTTTAGCTCATTTAACTTACTGTTTGCTCTTCAATTCGCGCATAGCGAAGCACGTGGAGCAAAACGAACGTGGGCGACGATCGAAAATTTGTAACTTTGCTCCTAAACTATTTTGATAAAACATTGACAAACCGAATCTTATAATCCGGTTTTTCAAACGTTCAAAGAACCGATTGATATCTAGATGCTCAACTGCAAGTATGGAGTGTTCAACACTTTTTTTGATGACTCGATCCCATTGCGGTTCTACTGATAATGATCGAACTCCTTTATCAACTGTTGATATCAAAATTTTTTCAAAGTTGTACAACTGAACAGAAGAGAAAATGTTTACGTTTCTAAATAACTTCCTTTTTGCCGATGCAACACGCCAAAGAATAGATAGCATACGAAGTAATTATACTTTTCAAAATTATACAATTGAATTTAGAAAAGAGCTACTTGGTTGATAAGAGGAGAAAGAGGCGACCTATTATCGAATTTTAGTGCAATGATGTTCTAAGGCTGGATCAGATGGAAAAATACGACTTTAATTCCTTCCACGTTGACGATAATTTAATTCATATTGATTGCCACGGTGATGTTACTCCGGTGCAATGGTATTTAGTATTTACTAGTTTGATAACTATACCTACAGTCGTGACTCATTAGACATAAAAGATTTGCTATTAGTCATAGAATATTTTTTAGCCGATGTTGACGAGCAAAGGAAGAGAAAATTCAGGAAAGCGTCTTCATTTTTTGTCAATTGTGTACACTTGAGGAAATCTGACCTCCATCGAGCCTCGAAAAATACTGACAACGGTTCGAAAGTCAAGCGAGTACCAAAGAGTTGATTTCCCTAAAGCAAGACCGAGCAAATATTCGTCGAATGGAGGAATAAAAATTTAATTCGTGTATCCTAGTTATTCTGACTATATCTTTTGAATATTTACAATTTTATCCGCCTTAAAAGGCTATGTTGGTAATGTTGATAGTTTCATTTTTCAATGCGTGCATGAGTGCCAAAGTAAGGAAAAAAAATATTAATCGAACGTCATTTGTTTTGAAGTGATCAAACGGAACGCATTACATATATATACATATATACACATACATGAGGAAAGAAACAATGCACGATATCGTCGGTTTATTAGAAGGGTGACGCATTCTCAGAAATGTCGCTTTTTAGATATCTTCGGAGACACTTCACAGATATGACTAAAGTAATGCATTGCAACGTGTATTGTAAATGCGTATCAAGAGTTGTTTCACAACGTTGTTCAATTTTATAACCAAAGTATCAAAGAGGTTGAGCAAAATAAGGACCGCTGATATTGTATATTGGGTCACCGGGGTGATACTTCACAAGGAAAAATTACATACGCAGTTCGATATAATTAAAGCGTTTCCACTTCGATGTTTTCAGTTCAAATATTCCGAGGATTGGCCATCCCTGAGCCGCGTCACTCCTCCGGTATAAACCGACGATATGCGATACTCAATGTATAAATACCTGATAATAAACAAGAAAACCCCGCAGAAGCATATCGAGACTGCGAGCACGAAGAAAATGTTCGACAGTTCCGCCACAGATACTAACATCGCCGTCATCGTATATTATCGTCGCGTTGCTCTTCCGTGTACACTGACGCACACGCACAGCCGCACACCTCCCGAATTAACCTCACTTCCCCGATAGGTAACCTGTCAAAGTCGCCACCGAGGACGACGACGAATTCGGCGCTATCCTTATTAAGCACTGTACACAAGTATTCTGTCCTGTGACGTGTGACAAACGACGATATAGCAGCAACGATAGAACGAGCTGTCAAAGCCGCATCGCGTGCCCGTACGCCGACGACACAAATTTTCGTTGCGTAAATACGCCAGCCTAACCTCATCGACTGACACGAAGCTGGTGTTTTCGCGTGCTCGTACACAGACACACGGTGGTTGTCGCGTTTCTACCACGTACGCTCGTATCGATTGCACGGCGACGATCGGCGATCTCGCGTCAACGGGACAGCCCTTCTCCCTTTTCTGTCAGTCAAACGTTTTTATCAAGACGGCCTGCGTAAGTTGAGTGTACGACGAGATTGTCTACCATAGCGCAGAATCGCCGTGGATAACGCCGTGCTCCGAGAGTTTCAGAGATAAACAAGGAGATAGCCGCACGTAAAACGAGATACGCAGCACATACTGATAACGCGATCGATCGATTGCACCGGACCGACGGTGAGAAGAGGGTCTTTCGTTAATGTCTCGTGAAGATAATCGCACGCACGGATGAGAAACACCGCGAAAAACACATTCGATACGTGTTTGGCTGTTGGTTTGAGACTGGACGTGGGCACCGAGGTGGGGACCACTTATACGCCTCTAACTTAGCGACGTTCTCGCTGCTACGCTGGTGCGCGCGCTTCGGGACGTCGACCAATGGCAGCGCCGATACGAGCCACCGATCAGCCAAACACACGCGCGAATAGAATTTGATTTTTAAATTTGAACGTGGTGACAATTGCTTTTCCTAATTGTAAGTGATATCTATTACTGTTCCACGTAAGTTAAATTAGCCAAACGATATATCATATATTAAATCTGTTTGACTTTTTAAATAATAGCGTAAGGGATTGAAAAGTTAACGTAAGTATTTGTAACACTTTTAATTTTTAATCTCACCGTGATATTTAAAAATTCCTTTTCGTCTTGCTACCTAATCGTGTTTTGACAACGGGATTGATTTGAACGTAAAATAGATTAAAAAATGTGAATTGCGCCTGTATCAACCCTATTTAAAATTCAAATTAAGTTTAATTCTCTGTAAAACGCATCAAGAGTGGTTTCCAAGGATACCGTTATTAATCAGCCGGAACAGCTGATGAAATCTCGACTGGCGACATCTAGTCGAATACGTCACGAAACATACGCAGATTCGGATTTTCCTCCAAATAATAATCGAATTTTAACCAAGTTGGAGCTTAAGATTGTTTTCTGCCTTCTTGTCGTATTATCATTTTTATCAGTGACAACAACGTTAAATACAAATCCAACAATGTCAAAATTAGTCGGCGTTGACTTTGAGGTTTATGGAAGAGTACAAGGTTAGTGACTATTTGCCTGTAACAGACTCGCAATGATATTGATTCTACGTTTCTCTTTTTAAAGGCGTGTTCTTTAGAAAGGTAAGTAAATTATCATATAAATTAAATATTCAACTAACGCAAATTACGAGGAAAAACGTTGCAAGTTTTTATGGTTTGTTTGGCAAAGAAGTGACATCTGGTAAGCGAAACAGTTACTACGTTGCTACATCGGTACTTTAAAGTCAGAAATGAAATTTTTAAAAATTCCAAATTAGAAAATAATTTTTTGGATATTTGGATTATACATGTAACATGTATGTTCATGATTGTACGTGTAAATTAGTAACATCAGCTTTCTGTTAACTGATCCGAAATAATTTCCAACAATTTGTCATTTGTGATATAGTATACCCAAAAACGCGGGACCGAATTAGGTTTAAAAGGGTGGTGTATGAACACTGATAATGGTACAGTTGTTGGTCGTCTTGAGGGGTCGGAAAGCAAAGTCGAAGAGATGTAAGTTTGCAATATTTTAACAGATAACATTGACATATCATTGATCAGCAATTTTACTCGTGATCAATCAGCAATGTGATTAATTGACTGTCCTTAATATATTTCTTTTTTTAGGAAAAATTGGCTACGTTACACTGGAAGTCCTCAATCAGCCATAGACAAAACGGAGTTTCGAAACCAGCAAGAGATATCTCAACCTACATTCGCTAGTTTTGAAATTAAAAAATCTTGACTTAATGTTATATTCTGAATCATCTATTTAATCGTTCGTTTTCTTTAGCATTTATATTTATTGAAAATTATAAGCAATACGCACGCGTTTGCAAAATGAAAGAGCACTATCTTATTTCCATGTATTTGCAAATATAATAAGTTTATACAATAAATAAATCTAACGCATGGAAATGGATATGCTATGCATTAAAATGAATATTTTCAGTTTTCGAAATGTTATATTTTCGCACACTTTAACATTCGTTCATTAAATTATTCTTTACCAGGAATCTATTAGCTTAAATATTTTATAACATTCCTAGTTATCTGGCAAAACATAATGGAACAATTTCGCCGTTTTGCTGCATGTCACGGGAAATCAACGTACGATGCTTTAACAGACGACACGTTACCGTCTCGTACAAGTTCCACCGCTATCGGCTCAAATATCATTAGTTGTCGAGTGTGCACCGACGTGTGCGCTTCAAAACTTTCGCCTGCGATCTCTCGTGCAAATGCGATTGCATTTTATACTCTGTCATTGTTCAAAATATCACCATTCGTTCATTCAGTTCGCTATCAATTATCATAATCTATTCCACCATAATTAACAAATGTCGGAAAGTTTGATGCACACTTTTTCGCGGTATTCTATGTGAATGTAATTGGAAATAACATAAGTGGCCTGATTGTGTGGATCTAGAGTCATGTATTGGTTAAGAGTGACTCTTAAATCATAGAATAGATTGAGAAGAATGGACCAATAATAACTAACAGATTACACGATCGTGATAATGCGGTGATTGGCAAATGGAAAGGAATGTCACATCAAGCATGAGGTGTTTCAAGAGTTTCTTTCAGCATACTTGGCATCCTCAACAGGTGAGCACACGTGTATATACCATAGAACATCTAAATCTTCCCGACTCTCGAATCTTCCTTGATTTAATCAGACATAATATTTCTTCGAAGACTCCAAAACAAGTGCCTCTAACAGTGTTGTTTAATTAAATGCGCGCAAATCAATTCAATACGAGTTGTATATTCAAAACTATTTTTATGTAACCACAATGATAATAATATTTTTACGAAGAAGCTCATTTTTAATCGTGTTTTGTGCGTTTCAATATATGAATGACCTTAGACAGACGTCACATAATAACAAATGTACGCGATAATAAATACAGCTCGTTCCACCTCGAGGAAGAAAATATCGATGTAATTTTAAGATTATCTGTCTGTCAAATTACTATGTTTTTCAGCTGCAAAGCTAATTAACAAAATTATGTACATACGTAAGCATGTTCACGATTCACAAAAAACATCGACAGACTTGCTCGTTTGAGCTAACCAGCTAACTTTCGATTCTTTCCACACCTTATCATACTTTCACCTGCTCGAAATCTTGTTTTCGGTAAAATTAGTCGTCAGAGTTCATCGAACTGGCGTGGCTGATTATTGCGAAACAAGGAAGAAGATCGATTGGTAATACGACAGTACGAAAAAAAAAAAAAACAAATTAATAAGTTTCACGAACTATCCTTCGACGAACTTCAATCTGTTCGTACCAGTGTGTCAAACAACACGTTTCTATAGGGTTAAATTTCAATGTGATCGATCGCAGTGTCACGTTTCATTTCTCTATCTGTTCCATAAAATGGTTCTCCTCTTCGATTCTCGTGTACCGTGGCTTTTGACTACCTGTTGAAAACATGAGCCTCGCCAGGTTACGCAAGGTATCGCACTTATCATTATGCTGGTGCATCTTCGACCTGTTGCGCATTTGCACACGTAACGATTCTCCTATTCTGGAATAACTTTCCATATTTTGTCCTTTCGATCCTTCATCTCGCTGGGATAACTCGCAAATTTTTCTGATCCCTTAAGATCGTTGCACCATACTGATCTATGAATTTTCAAATTCTACTAGTCAAAAATAAATATTCAAATTAATTTTTTGAAAGCGCATTTTAATAGCCTAATTTAATTTAAAGGTGCAAATGGCTACTCGCACGTAATAATTATTATTTACGCGTTTAAAATTTAATATTTTGGCGCGTTAAAGAAATAAACATGCGAGGCGCCTTAAATAAATAAACATGAAAAGAGAGAATGTCAAATTTTAGTTTGCTGAAGTTAAAAATAATAAATTTGGAAAAGAAAAAAATTTAAAAAAAATTTAACTCGCTGAATGTTAGAGAATATCATAAAATAATTACTTTCTTTAATTTATCATATGGCTTAAAAAATATATCATAGGGATCGAATTTCCTTGATTTACGATTCGATTAGCAGTGTTTGACATTTACACCACAGTAGCGGTTTGATAACGAGAGATCAGGGGTCGGGATTGATAAAGCTTGATAATGGTCCCCGCTTAGCCTAACTGGTCAGTTCCTTTGATGTTGTACGCAAACAAACTACAACTTTCCTCGTCTCGTGCTGGTTACACACTCAAAAATACGCGTCTCCTCCGTTTTAAAGTTAAACGTCAATTAGTTGAATGTTTTGATAGCTTCTTTTTTAGAATTTTCGTTAGTTAGGCATTTTTCATAATTATCAGTGATCTACGAATGTCTAATAATATGATTTCAAATCATTGATTAAAATATGAACGACGATGGGGATTGTCACACCAGGAAGTACGGATACTTGTTTGATAACGTGAGTGTCTAATTTTATCATAGTTTTTTTTTTTTTCATAAAAACTTCTTGCGTGTGTACATCGCTTAATCTTCCTGTAAAAAATGTCATACAAATAATTATCGTAAACGTAAATAATTCATGCACTTAATGCCGTCAGATACGATCCTAATGAAGTTACATGGATCATTGAACTGGTCAATATTTATACGACCTTTCATGCTTGCTTCGAAAATATGCATTATGTTCAATTCCTACGTTATTCACTCTCGCTTCGTTCCATCCACTCGAGGATTTGATCGTTGTGAAGTCGAGTGAAAGTTATTGCGACTGCACAAAAGTTCGTAACGTGACACGGAGGAAAATACAACGAGAACAATATAACTTTTCGCTTTTTCATTGCCAATAATTACATCGATATAGATTTTCATGGAAAATCCGCCATTCAATGAATTGACCTTCGTAAAATATACTTGACGTAAAATTATACCGCGTTATATAATAAATAAAAATGATAAATAATAGAATAAATAATAATAATAATAAAAATAATAAAATAATTAATAATAATAATAAAAAATAAATAATAATAATAATAAATAATAGAATAATAGAATTAGAAAAATAATAAATAATAAATAAATAGAAGTGCTCTCGAAAATTTACGTATAGGGTATCCCATCGATGATTATATTTTTCGTAAAATCATTTATTATTCATTATCTATTACTTTCGCCAACATTTTACGAAATGTTATATTTCACATTTAACGAACAGCTCTGTAAATAATTATATTTACAGATTGAAATGGAGCACCCTGTATATAATAATATCATTGACAGATGGTGATCGTGCCATCCCCCGGATCCATATGGGATTATCCATACTTGGACCAGGTTAGCAGTATGATGGCTTTGTTATATGGGACGAGACCAAAGCCTGAGCAAGACCTATTCCCCCCCAAGATTCGGATTCCAGAGACGCATGTAACGTTCCCACTCCTTCCCCTTTCACCGTTCAGATGTTTCAGAACGTTCACCCGTTGGCCTTCGATCGATCGTGTTTTCTCTCGTTTCCTCTCTCGCGAATCGTGTCATTTCCATTTTTCGAAAAATTTTCTTTCCAATCTCGAAAATGTCTCAAGACCTTCTCTCTCTCGTTTCTTCCTCTTCTCCTTCCTCTCTACTTCTTTCTCCTTCCGACATATGTGTATGTACTAATCGTGCCTCGTCGTGAAAATGGAAAACTTGAAGAAACAAGGAATACTTGTCGATCAAGAATCACTGGAAACGCGGTACACACGTTCCTTTGTACAATCGAGTGCAATCGCGAAATAATCAATAATTTGGATTGGTATCCGTATCGATACGTTGGTTGCACTTCACTCTCGTTCGAGCATTTATTGCAAATTCTGCCGAAATACCGGATATCTTATAACCGTCGCCTTCTTCTTTTTTTCTTTCTTTTTTTTTTGACTCTCTTGGGACCTAGTCGAGTAACATACATTCAGTTAACCATTATTCACAGATAAAAATACTCCACGGATAAAAATACTAACGTGTTCCAAGTTAGAGACTACAAGCCGCTTTTTTTTTTTTTTTTTTAGGACAAATAGGAAATTGTGGTTTTCAATTCCGGTTTGACTTAACCTTACTGCTAAAACCACGTTACATAGTTTATTCGAGTTGAAGTAGAGTATTAGTACTTCCTTCTTCCGTTTCAAATGATGCAGTGACTGTTTTTTCTTTCGTTTCTCTATTTCGATTTTCAAAGCGAACGTATCAACGAGTCGCATCACAAATATCTCGGATAGTAATTCATTCTAAAAGCAACTGAAGGCGACTGAAATATCTATACAATTCTATATATAAATATCTATCTATAAACTAATTCGTGCAACCGAGTCACTGGCAGGAGACATTGTATGCACAAATTAAATCGTTAGTTTCTTGCTAAATCTTTCTCCATTCTGTTTTACTGTGATACATTCAACAAAACGAATTTCTTAACGCTCCAGTTCCCTTTTCATCAACGTTTTCATCAGAGATGTATTCTCTTCATCTCGAAATTCATATCTTCGCATGTTTTGTCTCTTAAGTCACCTCTTGATTTCTTTCGTTACGTCTCGGTAATCAAATTAAGGCAGCAACTGCTCGAGATAACGTTAATTGCAATCCGGTGACAAACACAAGCCACCACTGATAACATTAAGTGGCTTACTGATCAGCTTTCATTCACTATCCGATATTAATTTCAGATGGAGAGTCCATCGAGGTTCGAGCTGACGAAGGCAGAGGCTGAAAGCGGAGAGGAGACGGAATTAGGCGAGGTGAAAGTGACGCTACCGACGAGCACCGTCGCGACCTCGACCCCCGTGCAACCAGGAGCCATCCCATGCAGAAACGGCGGCTGCAAGAGCTGGACAAGCCGCGCGGAATCGAGGATGGAGAGCCCTTGGCACTTCCTCAAAACCATCTTCCTTATCTCTGTGATCGTCGCGCTGATTCTTTGGATAATCGTCTACACGTTCCTCGCTCAATATCGGATCTTGTGACGTGGTGGAAATCGTGAGAATCTCGAGAGGCTTGGATGGTTGACATGCTCCTCCATGTGGAAACGATCTTTCGTTAAAACGGACGCATGAGAAAATCGACGAAGAAGAAACGTTACTTCCGAAATACTGAGAATAGATCAGAAGTGTGACGAGAGGGAAGATCTTCTCTCGAATTGAAATGATTCACGTTTTTTTTTTTTTTTTTTCTTTTTTCGATGTAGGACACTAAGAGCGAATTCTCCATTTCCTATCGATGTATCCGTCCTTGTACGTGCAACAATCCTGTGCGCGAGATCGTAGATCATTTGTCGAAGAAGTTGTTCGCTCGAGCGAGCGAGTGTAAGAAGCAAGCTGCTTGTTTTGTGGACAGAAAGTTTTAGGAATTCCCGCAGCTCGAGAATTGCGTAAAATTGCCGCTATCTATAATCGTGGCTTCTGTTTACATATTCAGTTGCATAGCCTCGCTTTCGTCAGTTCAGCGACAAAGGAATTCCCCAGTGTCGAGACATTCAATATGGCAGTTACTCGAGAGACTTTTGTTCAGAATGTACAAAAACGTGGTCCGCGGAGTTGGAAATGTTAAAACGATACTAGTCGTCGTAATATCTGTTCAAATTGGAATACCTTCTAAACGAATCAAAATTAATACATTAAAACTACGATTGTATTATTCTATCCAACATAATTCTAATCTCCTCACGATATTATACGATACATAGGAACATTTTATATAACCTGTTTGTAATTTTTTTTTTATCAAGCGAACAAATAAATTTATCTTGCAGGGAACCTCTAAAGTTCTATTTTATCTTGCCAAAGTACGCACAATGCATGTAACGACGTCTTGATAACGTCTGTATCATTTCTTCCAGCCAGAAAATTCAACCAGATAACATCAAAATCTCTTATCAACGCCAATAAGAACGTATGCACAAGTGTTATTTATTAGAGATTTAACACGGCCATCTTGACTTTCAGATCGCCGCAGGCGTCGATTAAAAGAAATTATTAATCCCCCACCAACGCTCGTAACAGACTCACGCTTAATTGTTCGTTGAAGTTATCTGCGGGTATATGACGTTCTACCAGCAGAATTTGTGTTTCTTTTTCTTCTTCTTTTTTTTTTTTTTTTTTTTCTTTTACCAACAACCTGTCCGACACAGACGGACGATCGGTATTCTCGAGTGAGGTTTCTTGACGGATAATCCAGGAGGGGGAAGGAAAAAAGGCGAAGGACGACGAACGCAGTTAATGCCACGCGATCTCGAGGCTGTGTTTCGCACCTGAAGTCGACGTTGGCCTTCGAAGCGGCATTTTATGCATTCATCTGCCTCGGTAGAATCCGTAGAATCACACGAAGTCCGTAGGATCTCTGATACGATGTTTACGAAGGTAGGAGTTGTTTATACGCATTTTTTTGTTTCACACGCGCAAAAGAAGAGAACGAAATCGTATTTAAAGAGGTTACATATCGCAATCTTATCTAATTAATGTATATATACAGGGTGTTTCGTAACTTGTGGAACCCACTTCGAGAGCTGATTGTACGCCTAAAAATAATGGAAAAAAGTCATATAAATATATGTCCTATCTGTCTTCGTTTATGAGATGTAATGAATTTTATAAACAGAGCAAACTCTAAGCTAGTTTCACCAGGGATGGTATATTCAATTATCATAATAATCATAATTGGGATGAAGAAAACCAACGTGTTATTGTGCACTCAAGACATCAACACCAGTTTAGTTTAAACGTATGGGCAGGAATAATTGGTAAATTTTTAATTGGACCTTTTCTTCTTGATGGAAAACTAACAGGCACAAAATACGTTGATTTTTTGAGCACGCATTTACACGAAATATTAGAGGAAGTTCCAGTTGATATTAGACTTCGTATGCGGTTTATGCATGATGGAGCACCGCCGCATTTTAGCCGAGTGGCTAGGCAATTTTTAAATCTACACTTTGCAAATAAATGGATTGGTCGTGGAGGTCCTATTGCATGGCCTGCTCGTTCTCCGGATTTGAATCCATTAGATTTNCTTCCGACAAATTCGAGAAACACCAGGAATGATAGAGAGAGTAACCAGATCAATGACAAGACGCGTGCAGGCTTGTCTTCAAACGCAAGGTGGTCATTTCGAGCATCTTTTGTAAAAGTAATGAAAACAGAAAATTATATGTCATAAACGACAGATAGGACATATATTTATATGACTTTTTTTCATTATTTTTAGGCGTATACAATGAGCTCCCAAAGTGGGGTCCCATAAGTTAGGAAACACCCTGTATATATATATATATATATATGTATATATGTATATATGTATATATGTATATGTGTAGTCCTTGAGAGTGACACTTATATGTTTTACAGAGTGTACCGGGCACTGAGAAACGTATCAATTTGAGAATTATTGTTTGACGTTATTATCTAATCTCCGGTTCCCTCGGCAGCACAAGAGATAGATCGAGGATTCTCGTTCACCGATCAGGAACAAAGTTCAACGTCTGAAGACTTGATACGCATTGTTCGCTACCGTAGCAGCGAGTTTACGACCCGAGTCCCGCGATAGATGCCCCGAAGAGAGTACACACCTAGCCGGCAATCTGAAGCGGGAAAACGAGAGGACGATTGCGCGATATTTGGAGAGCATTTTATCTCACATCCGAGATCCACAGGGCGGGACATCGCGACAGAATGATCCCGGGAAAGGTACGTCAAAGACACCGACTTTCTCACATGCTTCCTCGCAGTCTCGCGATTATTCATCACACGTTTTTTTTTTTTTTTTTTCTCTCACGAAAATCGTAAAACGAAAGATGGCAAGTCTTCGCAGTTAAAGCGAAGAGTTTGCTTGCATTACGTATTATCAAACTATTGATATTCACGCGTGTACGAGAAATTTAAATGTGAATGTAAAACCTGATCTTACATATGTAAATACATATTCGCAGCCTTGTTATTTCCCTTCCTCTAAAGTTGTTCATAACTAGCCTATGCTAGTTGGCAATGAAGAAATATAATATTGTGCCAACAACCGTTAAGGTGTTAAGATTTTCCTACCGATTTGCCGAGTTGCTTGGCACTGGCACTTTTGAGAAGTTCTTTTAATTAAGTACGCAATATCCGCAGAGAGCGACGCAGCAAAGGAAAATGCAACAGTGAGTGAACCGACGAAGAAGAAAGCTACCGGGGCAAAGGTCGATAAACTACGAGGCGAAGAGATCAAGCTGACAGCTTTCGATCATCCTGGATCGTCGAAGTCACCACAGTTTAACAAGATACCTGCCTCGAAGTCTGGCCCGAGCAAAGTGAAGAACACTCAGAGTATAGCAACACAAATGCGTCATAATTCAAGCACCCAAAGGCTGCAGGGAAACGAGGACATCGACGACGACGTAAGAAACCTCACGGTTCAGACTCGTGTTTGGTCGTTTCAACTGTGTGTCCCTTTTTTTGTTGCGTTTCAGTCTTCTTCTTTAGGCGCGGAGGATGTTGGAAGATCGCAAAAATACGTCCTGGTCGGATGGGACAACTTTCGTTCCAGGCTGATGATAATTCTACTAGTTCTTTTCATTTTATGGGCAGTCATCTATTTTCCTCTGACGAGAATCTGAAATTCAGTAGCATTAGCTCGACAAGAAAATGAAACGGAAATTTTTTCTTTCCACGTCATCGTGTCCTTTTTAGAGCTATCGGTCTTGATTCTTCAGTGAACTTTATTACGAGTATATTTTATCACGAGATACGATACACACACTCACACACACAAAATAAACCAAAATCTAATTAGATTGTATTCTGTAAAAATGTTGCTATATCCTTAAACATTGCTGAAGGACAAACCTGTTTATCACGATTGCAACTCCAAAGTGTAAATATGTATATACACTTTCCACAAATAAAGTACCATCTCTTCTATTGAAATGATAAATTTCATTTTCCTAAGTATCATCGTACAATTACGCAAATGTCTCGAAGTTTATTTTATTCCCATCATTCTTAGGTAAAATACGATCCCGCTGTAACGAGATTTGAACTAAACTCGATAAATTCATTGTTTCGAGATCCTCGAAAGGCAAACTCTCTACAGAAGCTGTTTGCACGTACCGACCGAGCGAGTAAATCCACCAATAGTCAATTCCTTTAACTTAGTCTTTAATTTAACACAATTCCCAATAGCCTGTCATCGTCCGAACTTTGTTAACTTGCTTGTCGTTCGCTCTCAAACAACAAACTAATCACAGTCATCGCTGTGTCAATAAATTCGAATTCGAGAAGACGATTCGTGACCAACAGAACTTCTAGCAACTAACAGCCGACCGATAGCAACACAGATGAATCTACAAGCAAACGAAACAGTTCGAAAGGCAGTTCCCCAATCAGATGATCGAGAACGTAGAAGAAGCGTTTTACCGGCGGTCGGACTGAAGGATCAATAAATCGGGATCAGTGATGACTGACATCACCGAGAGGATGGCCTTTTTCCAAGTGTGAAAGACGCGATGACCGTGCGACGACCTCGGCTAGGGTCTCGCAAACATGCCAACGAGAGGCGGAGGAGGCAAATGGCAAAGCGTAATCGGCTGGAAGTGGCCGATTCCGGCAGCAAGGCTTCAGTCCGTCTTAAAACGCTCACGTAGCCTCTCGACGCTCCCGATTCTATTACACCACGGAGAACCGAGCGCGATCCACAAGATCGTTTCAATCGTGAAACAGTCATGAAGATGAAAAACGTGGCTGCGATCTTCCTCGTGCTCGCGCTGTCGCTGATTCTCGTTGGTAAGTGAAGCTCACTCACTTTCTACCGACGTGGAAAAGGAATTTCCGAAGTGGTAAACACGTTCGTTCTGTTTGGTTGTGTTGGCATTAGGCGCTAACAAGAGCGTAACGTAAGATCTCGATGGAAGGGGAATCATTTTCGAAAGTGAAAGGAACCACCTCTTTTGTGATGTGCGTTTCAGTGATGAAAATCGGAGTTCAGAGTAGATGAAAGGCGCGTTTCATTTTCCGTGAGAGTGAGTTACGGGTAACTGACACGAATCGAAATATTTGAAATATTCTGGAATTTGTGCGCAGTTCGACGTAGTTTGCGCATTTACTTACTGGTAAATGTTATAAATATATTATACGACGGGCATTATGTAACGATTTCTCTGGGGCACTGTTTAGAGAATTATTATCTGCTTCAACGAAAACTACGTGATCTCGCCAAGGTTATCGTGGGTTCACTCTCGCATACGATCGACAAAATCGAGGACAGAAACGCGGTATTTCAGAGCAAAAAAGTGCTTGGCATTTTTTCAGATAAGTCACAGCACAGAAAAGGAATTACAACGAGCAGTCAACGTCATAAATCTTGTTAATTTCGATTCTGCCATACATATACAATATATGTGTGTACAAAAAGAAGAAATATGCATATCGATGCACCATTATGCTCTAATTACTGGATATATCAAACAAATAGCTACGACAATCTTATTATCTTTTTCTAACAAGTGATGCACGATATATTTTTAATTCCTGATTTCAATTTTTCCATGCGAATTGCCACTAAAATTGTAAATCGTTGAAAAGTAAAAACAAAAAGTTTGTCACTATAAAATCCGCGGAAAGAAGCATGGTATTTTAGAGACACGAAAATAAAATAAAATATTCATTGTATAAAAGTGTGAATGCAAAATGCGAGAGAAAAACTCCACGGTTTACCATTCAAAAATTAAATCTTCCGCGTAATGTATTCTAACACCCACGCATTGTCTATTTTCCAATTATCAAGTACAATCCTTTCTGCTCGTTTTAAACTACGCAGATACTCCGAAGGCAATTATCCCAAATCATCTACTCATCTTTCTCACTCTGATCCTTAATATCTAAAAATCCAATTACACGTCGCGTATTAATAATAAATCTTGCAATTCTTGAACAATCGTAATTCGAAATTCTCATTCTTCCTATCTACATCATCTATTCCAACTTCGATTCAATTTCCAGACGACGCAGAGGCAGGATGGAAATTCTGGAAGAAGAAGGACAAAGACACGACTACAACCACCACGACGATCGCTCCGGCAGTCGCTGGAACCAATCCTGAGCTAACAAAATCGAACGATCCGTCAGGTGTTACACCTGTGACGAACAAATCGCCAGGAAGTCCAACGAACGTTGGATCAGCGGTTCTCGGAGCAGGAGATCCTGGACTGGCGATCGGTGTCGGTTCGACCGGAGGAAAGGTAAAAGAAAATGCCCGGCCGAGCAGACCGAATCCAGGAACGGAAGTGGGTCTCGATTTCCCGGTATCGAAACCAGGAAAACCAGGCGTCGGCGGTAACATTGCTCAAGGGTACAGAGAGTGGGCCGTGGATCTAACTGGAGCTGGAGAACCAGGGAGACAACCACCAAGATTGCCCGGTACAGGACCAGCATTAAATTCTGCAGGTTAATTGCACGACGATTTTGAATCTTTGAAGATCTTATAGGAAGTTTATTTCTAATGTGCGAATTTGCTGACTAATCCGGTGTGGATTTTTTGTAGATTCCAAACTGGGTCCTGCGGGCGTGGCACAGCCGCAGACGCCAGGTAAAGATTAATGTTATAAGAATGAAACAAAGTTCTCGTTATAATATTTAATGGATAAACTATAGCTTGAGTTCTGACTTCTTGAACTTGCACGAATGCCCGTAGTCGAATTGCGGAAAAATTGTTTATTCTTTTTATTTGAAGGTGCTAAACCAGTCTCGACGCCAGGAAATGTTCCATCGCAGCCTCCATCGCCAGGTGCAAATTGATACAATGTTAGGAAAGTAATTAGAAGATTGTTCAATTTTTTTCGTTTCTCAGGTGCCAAGCCAGCGACGAGTCCTGGAAATGCACCATCGTCACGGCCTCAATCCCAACCACAGCCACAACCTCGGCCTCAGTCTCAGCCTCAACCTCAACCTCGTCCACAAACACCAGGTACAACATGTTAATACACAGAAGAAAATATTTTTGATCCTAATATTCTTCTTTATCTGAAGGATCACCTACACCAAGCTCTAAGCCAGTTGCTGCACCAGGACAACCTCAACCTGCGGCTGGAGGCAATCAAGTGTCTTCATTGTTTGTAACACTGAAACCTGGTCCAACAACATCAGCACCATCTAAACCAGCAAGTCTTCCTGGTTCTCCAGGAAGTCCTGGATCTCCCGGTTCGCCAGGAAAAACCTGGGCAGACGTGGCTGGAGGTGGCAGCAGACCTAACTCGCCTACACCTTCTCCAAGACCTGGCTATCCAAATCAACCTGGTTATCCAAGCCAGCCAGGTATAACGACGAATAAATTTTAATTGCGCTAAACGATTTTTATGCGTTTATAGGAAATTAGAAGTATGCAAATATATACATAACATGTAATATAGTATGCAAAGACGTATGAAATGTCCAAAATAAAATACTTGGTAGATAAAATAAATTTTTAATAGCTAAAGTACAGTGGATAAAGCTTGTTTGTTTGATAAGTAGGTCAAGCTCAACCAAGGCCACCGACTCAACCTGGAAGAACAGGACTATCCTCAGGAGCAATAGCAGGAGGTGCACTAGCAGGTGGTGCACTGGCAGGAGCAGCTGTGGCAGGAGCAGCCGCAGCAGATAAGAAAACTTACTCAAGCAACCCTACTTATAGCAAAGGAAATTCCATCACCGACGAAGACTTGGAGAAACTTTCCGAGGCTCTCTACATTAAGGACAACAATAACGCAAATAGACACATCACGCTGAATCTGCAGAAGCAGACAACCAGCAGCAGCACAACAGACGACGCGACACAACCGTAAGTTGTTAAATTGCAAATGACGAATAAGTCGAAGAGAAAACGAGTTATGTCGTTGGATAGGTGTTCAAGGAACATAGGCATATCAGCTTTTTATAGAATTTCAATTTCTGTGGTCTTATCTCTAAGGAAGAAAGCTGCACGAGAGAAAAGAATAGAGACTTTTGAAATGTCAATCTTAAACTTTAAAGTAGTAAAATTCGTAGAATTCGTTAAATAACAATAAAATAGTGGAAGTTTATGTAGAATTATATTTAGTTGAAATAATAATCAAGGAGAAGCTAGAGTCAGTGAAACACAGGCTTCAGGAAGATTATTTACTAAAAGTACATAAAAGCTGAAGGAATCACCAAATTCGAATTTCTCGAGTTTGTAGACAATATAATTTGCGTGTGAAATCTCCTAATTTTTACTCAACAAAATTTCTACTTGTTTCGTAAAAGTAGCCTTAAATTGCAGATTGTTCACGGTGAACGCAGAAGCGTACCAAGGTCCCACAATTCAAAGGGTGATATCGATCTATGACAATTACAAGCCGGATACCAATGTAAATGAGCATATAAGCCCGTTGCAGAGGCAAGAAGAGAGCCTTCTTGTGGACACGTTCCTCAGCACGAACGTGATGTCCGCCGCCATGAGATTTTTAGCGGACAAAGGGAAGATCCGCAAGGATTATTACGATTACAAAGACACGTTGAGGAAAATATGGTTCAACTTGTTCTCCAGGGGACAAGGGAAAATTGGTAGCTCGGGTTTCGAGCATGTTTTCATGGCGGAACTAAAGAGTGTACCAACTGGTACCGAAGTGGTCGGCTTGCACAATTGGATCTACTATAGCAAAGAGGAGACCAATGGGAAAGCAAATTATGCCGGGTATTTGAGCAAAGTCGACCTCGGAGATGTAAGTTGATTTTTATTTTCTCAAAATGCTTTCATCACTTTCTTCATTTTCCTCAAATTTCTTCGAAATTACTTACAATGTCATCGTAGTGCAGAAATTACTTTTCGTTTCGAAAAAGAGAAAAGCATGAAAGTCTACTCTCATTTGTTTAATGATCAGATATGAAAAATACGTTTGACGAATGTATAATGGATTCCATTCCACTTTCAGCGCCTATTATTTGCACAATGACGCCTGTCTATTGTTTCTTTCGTAGTATTCCGAGAGGACTATGACTCATAACTACGCGAGACGCCAGCTAATCATGTTTGCACGTGTTTGTTCTTTCAGAAGGCATCTATTATTAAAATACGAACGAAGTACAGCGGGTACGATAAACCGGTGACGACTATGTTCGTGGGTACTTCGCCCGAACTGGAGATGGCACTGTATACAGTGTGCTTCTACGCGAGACCAGACGAAAGTTGTCCGGTGTCCCTCGGAGGGACCAAGTTTAATATCATCACTTATAAATTTAAGTACAGAGGAAACGATCTGATAGGCACCGCCTATCCAGATATATAAGCTCATCGAGATTATATTTCTGCTTGGATTTCTTTCTTTCTTTCTTTCTTTTTTTTTTTTTTTT